GCGCTGCACAGCCTCGCACTTTCGCCGCAGTGCCTTTGAGCCAATCAGCTGGCACTGCAGCAGGTAAACAACACGGGTCCGCCGTCCGACACACCCTCTCTAATAACAGCCCGGCTGATCTGCGCTTCTTTGAGTGAGGCTGTAATGAGCGCGTGCAGCAGCGTCGCCTCCCAGACTGAAGGCCGCGCTCGTTAATGACTCATCGGGAGGAGGAGGGTGGTGGAGGAGGAGGGAGGAGGAGGAGGAGGGTGGTAATTATCGGTGTAAACAGGCTGACTCATTAACCTCTCATGGTGAGGCTGGCGGTCTGTGCTGCTGAAGTGACGGCGCTCGTTATGAGCTTAGAGGCTGAGCGGCACAGGTCAGAGGTCACCACACGAACACCTTTTGCAGGTGTGCGACATCATGTGAACAAAGCTGCTGCTCATCATCATATTCCGGTTTCTCACACACCCATGAGTCCCAGAATTCCGCTCGGCAAAACTGGAGCTCCGACTTTTTGGATCAACATCAAAGAGTCTGAGGTAACGACCTGCCTCAGGTGTCCGACCATGAACACATGCTTCCTCCTGACTCCTGCACCTTTTGGACCCTGCAGCTGTCCGCCCGCCCGGTCACGTCAAACCGTAATGGATCAAACGGAGCGAGCCTGCGGGGCGCCGCGCCGAGGTGAGTAGGTGGCGGATCGGAGAGAGATCAGTACTGACGGGACGCACAGAGGCTTCGATGTGATGAAGGCAAAGTGAAGAGGAAGAAGATCGCAGTAACAAGCAGCTGCTCACACTCCATCATCATCATCATCCTCCTCCTGCTGCTGCTCAGAACATCCACCTTTGCCTCGCACACGCTGACTCTACTTTGGTCACTCATGTGTGAGTTGCTGTTATTATGCATGTGTAGTATGAGCAGCTGTATGAACACAGCATGTAAAACACCACAGAGCTCATTTTTTTAAAGGCTTCAGGCTGCAAACATCAAACTTTTCAGTTGTTGATCTTGGAAATTCAGTGAGTCTGTCCCCATCGACTCCAACGTTAAATCTTTCCAGCATTCATAACCTGATACGCACACTTCTCTAGCGATAATTCCCCCTCACAGCATGTGTTTAAGTTGGATTACAGTTAGCATTATTAGGCGCGTGGCCTCTTTGGCTGACAGGTGGCTGTAGCTGCTAGCTGCCTGCTAGCTTCACCTGAACTGGACCTCTGGAGCGTGTTTGTGCTGTTTTGATGGCCTCATCAGTAAAATGCTGCTGTGATGTCACTGTACTAACGCACCGAGGGAACATCTCGGATTGTGATTGGATGTTCTTGATTATCAGCTGAGTGTCGCTCCCGTAGAGTTCATCCTGCAGGTTTCCGTTTGGGCTTTGATTTAAGTGACGACTGCGTCCGGCTGATCTTCGTGCTCAGGTGTTGATGTTTCCTCCTGCTGCGTCCTGCAGGCTCATTTTATCCTTTCAAAGCAAAAAAAGCGCTAAACGCTGATTCCTCTGTGCGACGTGCGCTCGGCGTGCAGATCTGCACAGACGGCTTGTTACCTGGTCGACCTGCTGGAGGCCGCAGCGACATATTGCAGCCGGCGGGGGGGCGGGGACAGGAAGGAGGAAGCAAACGGCCAAATGCTGACGCTGCAGTTTGTTTCACTGAGGACTCAGGTCCAAGCGTGAATCAGATCAGCGCCTCTCCGTCTGCTGTTAAGCCCCAGCATCACGTCTGAATCGTCCTATCAGCACATTTCTGTTCAGTGTCGGTGTAATAGACACCCGGCTGTGTGCTTCAAACACCAGAGTTTGTTCTGATGATAATTTCCTGCGTTAGTTAGAAATGTTTCATGAAGGGATTCAGCTCACTGTGAATGAAAGTAAGTCAAACATCCATGTTCTCACAGGCTGTGAAGTCTGCAGGTCGTGAGGTTGTGAATGGATCGCCGTGACGACACCTCCATCAGGGACTGTCTTTAAATGTGAAACCCTGCAAGTTTAAA